TGTTTCTTGAAGTATTTTAATGTTGGAATGACTATAAAGTACACTTGTATCATCGGCAAATAGAAGAATTGAAACAGTTTTAGTACAGTTTTGGATATCATTTATGTATAAAATAAAGAGTAGTGGTCCAAGTATCGAACCCTGTGGCACACCTGTGAGTATCGATTTTTCTGTAGATTGCACTGTGTTATATTTAACTATTTGTTTCCTATTTCTTAAATAACTTTCAAACCAACATTTTGCAATGCCTCGGATCCCATAATATTCGAGTTTCCCAATCAGAATCCTGTGATCGATAGTGTCAAAAGCTTTTGACAAATCAAGAAAAACACTAGCTGTGTATTTTCCTTCATCAATAGCCCTTGTTACTTTATCTATAAGTTCAATGATAGCATGTTCTGTTGACCTATTTTTTCTGAATCCATATTGATGCTTGGATAAAATATCATTTTCTTCAACAAAATCAATCAGTCTTTTGTACATTAATTTCTCCAATACCTTAGAAAAACATGTGAGAACAGATATTGGTCTGTAATTTTCAAATTTGTTATTTTCATTAGCTTTGAAAATAGGGGATACTAAAGCTATTTTCATTTGGTCAGGTACAATCCCCATAATAAATGTCTGGTTGTAAATATGAGTTAATGGTTTGGATATATACTTGTAAATATTTTTTAATATTTTGGCACTGTAGCCATCGAATCCTGGACTTTTGTTTGGATTTAGATTTTTTATCTCGTTTTCAACTTCATGCTCTTCTATAGGTCTTAAAAATATGGAATTTAGGTTTTTGTTTGTAAGATATTGTTCATAAGTCGAGTTTGATCTGGTTTTTATTTGTTTTGCAAGCTTGGGTCCTAGATTCACAAAATAATCATTGAATTTATTAGCAATTTCAATAGGGTTAGAAGTGGTACTTGAAGAATTGCTCAATAAAAATTCCTTTGGTAATTCCTTCTTTCGAGTAGGTTTATTAAGTAATTCATTAATTGTTTTCCAGATCATTTTTGTATTTTGTTTATGTTTAATAAATTGTTCCTCGTAATACGTCTTTTTGGATATTTTTATAACATGATTTAGTTTGTTTTTATATTTTTTATAAACGTTTTCATTTTTTTGGCTTGGATGTAGTAAATACTTTTTATAAAGTTGATTTTTTTTCCTGACAGATTTTAGTATGCATTTAGTCATCCATGGACTTTTAACTTTGTTAACAGCTTTTTTATTTGATACTTTTTTGAGTGGAAAATTTGATTCATAATTTTCTGAAAATATTTCAGAAAAATTTTTAAAACATTGTATGGGATCACTTTCAATTGTTACACTATCCCATGTTAATTCCTTTAATGATTCTGTGAATAGGCTTATGTTATTGTTGTTGATCATTCTTTTGTAATAGCTACCACTGATGTTATCATTGTTTGTATTATAAGGTGTATTTGTAGTGCACATATGAACTACAGGTAAGTGATCTGAAATATCACTAAAGATTATTCCATTTATGCTTGTGTCAACTTGTTGAATATTGTTTGTAAAAATGTTATCAATAAGTGTGGATGTGTGCGCAGTAACCCGTGTTGGTTTTGTGATAAGTGGATAAAAAGAAGAGGTAAATAGTTGCTCTATAAATCTGTTTGAGTAATCACAGGATTCCGATTTAAGTAAATCGATATTAAAGTCACCAATAAGATAACAAATTTTATTTTCCTTGTCAATAGTGTTCAAAATGCCATTCATTGCTATTTCAAAAGGTATCAAATTTATTATTAGGTGGTCGATAAATAACACCAACAATTACATTTTTACCAGTTGATGCAATTATTTCAATAAAAATTGATTCAATTACATCATCAACATTTGTACTTAAGTCATTTCTCAACTTATAATTAATTTCTTCAGTCACATATATGCCAACCCCTCCTCCTTTTTTATTTGATCTGTTTACGCCAATATATTTATAACCTTCTAATCCAAAATTATTTGCGTTATCATCATTTAACCAAGTTTCAGTTATTCCTATTACTTTAAATTTCTTATTTAATGTACTTGTTAATTGCTTAAACATATCAAATTTATTCGATATACTCCGTATATTTAAATGGAAAATAGAAAAAAGGTTTTCCGAATTTTCATTTATTGATTGTTCTTGGAATTTGGCCGGTGTATAGTAATTGCAGTTAACAGTATCTAAATTATTTAGCATATCTAAATAGATGTACTAGCACTTAGCCTACATCTCTGAAAGGAATATCGTTAAATATTTACCTATTTTTCAGTTTTATCAGTACTGCTTTGTAAATGAATAATATGATACCAAAGCTATATATATATACGCGATTCTGACATTGTTTTGCAACCTTTTATGACATTGGTGTGCAACGTACGGTCCGGAGTTTCAACCATTTTCTCTCCCCTCGCTTTTCCCTCGACCGTTCTTTTCGCATCGCGCGTTTTCTGCACCGATTGCTTTAATATAACTGTATGGAGATTATGTATGTATATGCTTGTTCTGATATTTTTCTAAATGCACGCTGGTAATATTTAGGAAGCTTTCTCCCAATACACCAGGCCCATATTTCCAGCGGACATCCAACGAAAAATTGAAAGCCTTGCGTTTTACACAGAGCTGCCATTTTTGGCGAGATGTCCGCTGACAATATGAGCACGCACGAGTGAGGGGAAATTTGCTAAATTTGACCGACGTGGTGTTAAATATAGGACATAGTCGGGCTTCCTTTGGTATGAACGACAGCAGAAAAGAAGAAATTGCAGATCATTATTTCCAATTCTGAGAAGAGTGGTTCGTTTCAAGTTGTCCTCCATACAGATATCATACGCATGCTCAAATAAGGTTAACTGCAAATGCATACAAGAGGACTGTAATTTTAAACGATTTCTCGGTCCAGAAATTCCCTGATTCACATAATTGTTTTGTCTACTTTAGATGGCGAAGAAGAGGATGACCAGTTAAACGAGGTAAATTAAAGTATAGTCAAGTATCCACCAGGCCATGGCCAAAATAAAAAATGAACACAGAAAAAACCCCACTTTTTTCTGGATCTATAAAGATATTCCATATTATTGCACGAAGAAGTTATGAATTGTTTCATTTTCTCGTTAATACAATTATAAGTAAATAGGCTAATAATATACATGCATACACACATACACACACATACAAAAATTTAATTATGCACGCTGTCCTCAACAACTCAGAGTTGATTTCCATGAGGGTCGTGATTTTAGAAAGAATATACTATACAGATAAACATTACTAGATTATTCAAAATACAAAAACAAAGAAAGAAGAATTACTATATAGGCAACAGGACGAGCCCATTTTAAGTGTTTGCTCGATTAATAGTTCTTTGAAAAGAACTTAAAGATTCCGCTACTTTTACAGTACCTCATACGGTAAATTATTTCATACTAAGCATCTTTTACTAAAATCGGTATTCGCTTTAGGAAGAGACAAATCGGTTTCTCTATTTCTAAGGTCATAGGTATTATCACATTCATTATTCAATCGAAAGGATGTTCTTAGATTTGGTGCGGTGTGGTTATTCAGAATTTTATACATAAAAACAGATTTTAAATAATTTCGCCTTAGTTCTAGCTAGGTGTTTCCAACCCAGACTTTCGAGTAAATCAACCGACCGAACATTGTAAGTTGCACCAGAAATTACTCTTGTAGCCCGATTTTGAAATTTCTGCAGCCTGTCCTTGAGGCTTATTCCACAGTTGTCCCAGAGAGGGCTGCAGTAATCAAAGTATAGGGCTGTACAATAGCATTGTAGATCAATTTTAGTGCCTCAGGCGATACAAAGGGCCTAATACGTCTTATAGCCCCGATACCCGCACTGGCTTTTGAGCTTATATCATATCAATATGTTTATCGAAGGTCCATCTTTCGTCAATGTTGACACCAAGGCAAATCTAATTTTCAGTCCTGGGTATTCGAACGTTATTAACGAGAATAGGGTTACCAGATACTTTATGTTTAATATTATACGCTGGTCCAATGAACATATATTTCGATTTTGTAATCTTAGAAAAACATTATTCCAAAATATGTTACACCTCACAATAAGCTTGTCCAATCTGAGAAGTTGGTTTCCATAACATGACCATATTATTTTCAGCAAATACCATGTCCTGGGCATCTCGTATACCGTGGGTCTTTTCGACTCGAATACCGCGCTTGAGCGGGAAATATGACTTGTCTAATTTCATCGGCCAGAAACATAGCGGAATCAGAGGAAGTTGAACACGAAATAAATAATGAACTTAGGTGCTTATTGAACAGCAAGGACGGGGTATTTCGGACTTAGCCCGTAGGATATTTCATCATTCAGGTACTCCTTAGGTCTATGACTGATGAAACTAACGACCATTTGTGACCACGTCTGTAGGAATGTAGAAGATGACATTTTAGAGAAGAGTCTAGTTACTTGGATATGAACATATCTTTTATACGCTCTAAGAAATAACTATATAGTAAACGTCAGTTGGCAGAAATTGTTAATTAAGCGTCATAGGTCCACTCAAGTACTAGAATTACCCCTAGCTCTAAACTCACCTAAAATAATCCATTTGCGACTTCCTGTTAAGATAACTAACGACTCTGATGATGGTTGCGATGAACAGTTATTCTGGAATGGCATTCCAAACAACGAAGTGTCAGAAAACAAAGGTTTTGATGATAGTAGAGAGGATATGGATGCAAATGTTCACCAAGAACAGCCGGTTTCGACTAATGTACAAACATGCTGAGGTAAATACGTATAAAGACCGCGGGACGGTTTTATAAAAACGTAGTTAAGGTTAACTGCAGTTAGCGTTACTACCCGTACAGTTAAATCCTTAACTGTAATTAGTTAACTACATGATTTAACTGCGTTGTACAAAACGTAGTTACTTGGGGGTAGTAACTAATCACGTAGTTAACTGTGCGTGTGCCTTTGTTAAATTAAGTAATGCGTGATTAACATCCGCTGACAAGCATTTTTAACATAATTGTGGACTCGCATTTTGCAAATCCGCGGGAATTTGACTCAAAATAGTGAAAAATAAGAACGGAAACAAGATAAAAATCAAAGACGTTTTTCCATGTGGTGTCACGTTAAACCGAAGTGTAGCTATTTGGCAATTATATATCATGTTTCCTGGTGTAATAGGTCCTACTTCGTCTTAGATAAATTGATCTTCCCGTGCAAAACTATATTCTGTTTTCGCCAAAAGACCAAAGATATATAGCGTTTTAACGGTCAGGACTAACATTCGTAGGGATGATATAGCGATTAACAATCCCTGGTAAGCGTTGCTTTTCATTATTGTCTTACTGAAAATGCTGTTCACTCCAAACTGCAGCACTATTTTTAACTACGTTTTGAGAAGATAACGATTACCCTTGCGCATAGTTAACTTTAACTACTTTTTAACAACTTTCTAACTGCTGTTAATGCAATACTGAAAATAGGCATTTGAAACAACTATTTACTTGCAGATAGGAAACGTTGCCTTATTGCGATGCTCGCCAAGCATGGAGATAGAAGTCATTAACTTTATACCAGGGCCGCCGAGAGAGAGGAGGTTTTGACCCGAATTAGTTAACCCAAACGAGGCCTCCAAAGCAATGAAGTCCCTTAAAATTTCTTGATACAAGATTGCTTAGCGGCATGCACTCATTCACTTGACAACGGAAGACTTCTAGGCTTTACTGTTTTGTTCATGCGCATGTGCCAAAATTTGCGCAGTACAGAGCAGCACGTTTGGCTGATAAAATGAGGAAAAAACTCAGTCCACAAAAGTTAATTCGGGCAGTTTAACTCGACACCAGCAACGGAAAATACAAACCTTACACGAAGCCCATTGACGATGGATTAATTATACACATTCAAACTATCCACCAAACATCATAAAAACAATTTCCTACATTCATAAGCAAGCGCATTTCACTTCTCTCGACAGACAAGCAAACGTTTTAAGGAAACTACAGTACACCTACTGTATTTACCAAATACACTAAGACACAGCAATTTCAACTACAATCTAGGTAGTAACTGCAGAGGAATGGCCTTCGCTCGAAACATACGTCGAAATTCCCCATATGTTTTTCATGTAGTTGCATCGCTACCAACGAAAGCTTGTTAATACATGAATGAGACACCACAACAATCATGTAGAAATAGGCAACGTGATATCATTTGGTTTAACCCTCCATTCAGTATGAGTGCCAAAACCAACACAGTTACACAGGGCGCAATTTTCTCAGCCTAATTGAATTGGAAACATTTTCCACGTACGACAACAAACTTCAAAAAAGTTTTAACAGAAACACAGTTATAGTTCACTGTTGCATGAACAACGTAATGTCCGCCATTACCGTAATAACGTAACGCACGTATAATTAGGACAAATCAGACACAGAGCTACCCTGGTGCCCGAGGCTCTTTGCGAGGCGAAAGAAACGAGAGGCGAGAACGGATATATAGCGTCTGGCCCATCGATTGCAAATGCCACTTTCACACTTGATTAGGTTCAGAATTTGAATCTCGCATGTGATTGGCCATTTGTAAAAATATGTCAAACCAGCTAGGGAAATAAACATTACTGCAAGCTAATTGTAGCCTGTATGAAACTATTCTATTAATTAAACTCGACCGCGTGAATATTAATACACCTGTGAAAAGGTAGCAAACTGATAATATTGAATGTGTTTATTTCCTGAGAAACTTGATACTTTTTTTCACGGGAGTATTTGATACTCTTATTAATATAGAAGAAACTAGATTCACTTCCGAAATATCACATACTCGAACCGATCTGACCGCGTAGCTCAGTTGGCAGAGCATTGGGCTAGTATTCCAAAGGTCGTATAGGTTCGAACCCCACCGTGGCCAGGCATTTTTCAAGCTTTCCCGGTGTGAATACGCGCTCAGAGTAACATCACAAACATCATATTCACCTGAATACAGTACATAACACCAACACAGAAAAAATCATGATTATTAGATTGCATTGAAATCGAAGGAACTGCACTCAGTTGCGAAATGTTACATACTCCAACCGACTTGACCGCGTAGGTCAATTCCAAAGGTCGTAGTTTCGATTCCTACCGTGGCCAAGCATATTTTTCAAGCTTGCCCAGTGTGGATACATACTCAGAGTAACATCACAAACATCATATTCACCTGAATACATAACACCAACACAGAAAAAATCATGATTACTAGATTGCATTGATATCGAACGAACGAGACTCATTTCCGAAATATAACATACTCGAACCGATCTGACCGCGTAGCTCAGTTGGCAGAGCATTGGGCTAGTATTCCAAAGGTCGTAGGTTCGATTCCCACCGTGGCCAGGCATATTGTTCAAGTTTTCCCGGTGTGGATACACACTCAGAGTGACATAACAAACACCATGTTCACCTGAGTACATAACACCAACACAGAAAAAATCATTTTCACAAGAGTTCAAAATGTCTGATATCGACCAGTAGTCTAGGACCTCTACATGAGGTTGTATGCATTTCATGTCGGACAGGTAATCTCAACTGTTTTAGGGTAAAATGGACGAAATCCAGAATCCAGGACTAAATTCCCGAAAGTGACCCCGCCCTGAAACGGCAGTGTCAACATAGCTCTAACTTCCGAAAAAGAAAAGCGATAGCCTTTCTGCAGTGCTTATAGTGATTAGAAAGGTTGCTTTTAGGGGTGGTCATTGAAGGGGAAATTTGTCTAAGTATAATATTTAACACGAAAATGACCATGCACCACCCCAGGTAAATTGCTAATTATGCATAAAATAACTAATATGCCTGGCCGAAATTATATTTTCTTATTTCCTAAAAAAAAATATCATGGGATGAAAAGCTATGCTAAATTTAATATAATTATTTTGGATTTCATAAGGATTGTCATTGTTTTCTTTAAACATAATACATTTTATTTCACTTACCCCTCACAAAAACTCGATTTCAGTCGTATTTTGCCGTCTTATTTGCTTTTTATCGCTGAATCTCGCAAATGTCATCCAGTTGTTGTACTTTTGCATAATGATAAATGGCTAGAGAAGAACCAAGTTTCATCAAGTTTTGAAACAGTGCAGTGTATTTTATCTTCGATATTTCGTGGCGATTGCAATGGCGCTTGCAATGGCTCGCTGCTTCTCTGCCCGATAAATTCCTCTTCTTCGTCTTCCTTTCCTTTCAAGTGCAACTAATTTTTTCGATTGGGATTATATGACAATGAATTACTCTTGGATACGGTAATCTAAATACATAAGAAGAAGAAGAAGTGGCATCGAGCTATTGCAATGGCGCCATATATTTCACGAAATATCGAAGGACTCAATATCGAAGAGAAAATACACTGCACTGTTTCAAAACTCGATGAAACTTGGTTGAAATCTTGTTTAGCCATTTAGCGTGGCAATATATTAAAAGCAGTCACAAGAAAATATATATATGATATATCTAGAGTAGACCGAACGATGTGCCGGGTTATTCATTTGTTTAACTGTTAGTAAAGTATATCTAGATACTCGAACCAAAAGAATTTATTTATTGATGAGATGTGGCATGGAATTGCAACGAAATAGCGAGATCTTTTGATTTCCGAAATATCGCCAAGACGCCAACTGTATCCAGATTGTTGACTATAAAAGCTTTATAAAACTTCCTGCATTGGCCCTTGGCATTTCTGAAACTCAACAATCATGGTATATGTTAAAGTCTAGCTGTGTGTTGAAAATCTACAGTATTAAAATCATACATCAAAGATAAGTCAAACGACAGTATACTATATTAGCCTATGTCTTTCAATGGGCACTTTATTTTTATAGTAGTGTTTACAACATTTATAAATTTTATAAACAGCTTTCGTTTTGACACAACTCACACAAGTTTAAATTTTTTGCTTTATATATATATTCTTAGTAGCTAATACAAGTGAGATTTAAATGTTTTGTTTGTGGAATAGAATACCGTTATTTTTTAATGGACAGCTTGTATCGTCTTTATCATATCCAGGATTGCTTGTAAATGCATATACCACTATGACACTATCAAATAAATATACAAATATATTTGAGAGCCTTGTTTTTTAGAGCATATTAATGACTAATGAACTAGAAATAAACAGATGATCCACAATGAAAACTTTAAAAATGTTAGTAGAAGTAGAAAACTCGAAAATTAATGTTTATTCGTATGACAGTCTGTGCCAAAAGACCAAGAACTAGGGATCCAAGGATAGTGCAATGTTTCTGAAAACTTGAAAAGTCATTACGGTAATATCAAATCTTTCAAACATATTGTTCATAGTTTTGCAATTCATTTGTCCAAATGATTAGTTTTGTCGATATCCCTGTATATTATTTTGTAGCATCTCAATTTATTTAATATACAGAACGCAGACAAAATTATACTTACGATAAGATTAGGCCGATAATTTCGGCCACATCACACATATCACACATTAATTGCCAAAACAGTAAATTTGCCAATTTGGCAACTTTTTATAAACGTAAACATTGTCATTGACATTGACATTGTATTGAAATAAATGTAACACGATGACCTACGAACTGTACCTAAGACATAATAAATTTTAATCTTGAATTCAATTAAATATTGAAACAAAGGCTTTGTTATTAAAAGCTAGTATATATATATCTCGATTAGTATATTATGCCAACAGCAAACTTCGCGCTTGTTATTATCCTTTTACTTCAATTACGGCACAAAAACCAAATATCTTAATATCTCTCCATATAACTAGCCATATCAATAAAACTCATTGCGGCTGTCTGCATGTGCACAGGCTACAATATGCGGGCCTTGAATAAATGAATAATTAAAATATTACAAAAAATTCTGTCAAATTCTGCGACACCTATTGATGGTATACCGTCTGTTCACAGACTGTATATACTATGAGACTATACAGCACGCAAGTTATATTTTTATATCAGAAAAATGCTGTTTTTATATGACTATGCTTTTATTGCAGATTAATTTTCATATAAAGATAGATTAGGGTTGAAATTATAGATTTAATATAAACGAGCGTGCTATAAATGTGGAACCAGAGCTGTAGACAAACATTTATATATAGACATGATATTGCATGTTATACTGCACGGGGATATTATATTTCATGTTATTTATAAAATAACGTGTCTGCCTATACTGGCTACAGTCATAGAAAGAATAAAATATAGTTGTACAACTAAATTTCGTGACATAAATTGAGCTACGAGATTTAAATTGAAATATAAGAAAATCATAAATAGAAATGCAAAAACTCGGGCCTCGTATGAAATGCAGCGAGTTGAAGCCCCGAAATAGAGTCTAAAATTGCATAGAAATAATACATACCCATGTTAAATCGTTTGCCCAAGGCCTGTTCTAAAATTTCGACCAGCACTCATACGCGTCGTCATATTTATTTGTGCGTGCTGATTTTGCTGACTTGCAGTTCTCACGAAAATTTGATGATACGGGGGGTGCCAATGGCACGAATCCCCATATTTGTTATCTCAGTAAACTTTTAACATTGCTGTAATGTAGACGTTTAAACATTGATCGTCAAGCTAAATCAACTTTAAGAAATTTTACTGTTGCTATAAATACCGTTTTAACGTTAAAAATTCTCCAACCTTGAAGTTTTTTTAGATATGGCATTGAGATAACATTTGTAACTCCCCCCGGAAAGTTTACTCTATGTATCTCTCGCTTGAATTTCGCCACTCATCACAATAGTGCAACGTTTCCATGGAAACATTGCACTAAAAAGCAAAATTAATCTCAATACACAAATCTGGCGAAATGAGTGAAAGAGGCAACTTTAGACCAATTTCTATCCTGGTTATTCTCTCAAAAATCCTTGACAGACATGTGTTTAATTCATATTTTTTATATTTAACTGAGCATGAAATTCTATCCGATTACCAACATGGATTCAGACCTGGCCACTCGTGCGAAACGTCATTAAACATGATTTACGAATACCTTGTTAACAATATTGATAATGAAGAAATTAACGGTGTTTTGATGCTTGACTTTTCCAAAGCCTTCGATTTAGTGGATCATAATATTTTGCTCCAAAAAATCCACGCGTACGGGGCTACTGACCTAACCCTAAAATGGTTCGCCTCGTATCTTGAAGGACGAACTCAACAGGTGCAAATTAACGAAGTCCTTTCTGAACCTTTAACAATTATTACTGGGGTCCCTCAGGGTTCCATTCTTGGCCCGTTACTATTCTTAATATTTATCAATGATCTTCCATCTTTTCTTACTACCTCTCATCCTTCTCTTTTTGCGGATGACTCGACTCTTTTAGCCCATGGCTGTGAGCTACCTGATATCAAAGCTTCTTTGTCGACTGATTTGTGTATTACCTCTAATTGGGCAAGAAGCAACCATATGGCTTTAAATTTTAGCAAAACCAAATTCATGAAAATTTATTCAAAGCGTAAGTATTCACAGCTTGATTATGATAGCATACTTTATGAGGATTTTTGGATTGAAGAAATTACTTCTGGCAAACTTTTAGGTATCTTACTGGATAAAAATCTCTCCTGGGACAACCAAGTGGATAAGATATATAAATACCTTAATTCCAGGCTTTATCGGTTTAAGCGTATTTGCCTAGCCCTTCCACTGAAATGTAGAATTAAGTTTTACTAAAATTTTACTCGTTGTAAGCACCTTGCGCAGCTCATCTCCTAGTGATCTGCGCGAGTTGTTTTGTTTCTCCGGGGCATCGCACGATGTATATACTCGCTCCTCTGTTACTGATCTCAAAATACCATCTGTCAAATCTAATCTTTCCAAGACCAAACTCTCATACAGTGGTGTTTTACTTTTCAATTCTTTACCAAATGACCTGAAAGTGTTTAACGATTACTCCCCGTCTGCGTATAAGCATAAAGTTAAGAGGTTTTTCTCTAATCTTAATCATGAGGTTGACCATCTTGAACAATTTTCGTGTCTTTCTTGCAAAAACCTAGTTAAGTGTATTTGTTACTCGCACTGAATTTTCTTTTAATTTTTAATAACTTATATTGTCAAAACTAAAAAAAAGATGCATGCTTAATAATACAGTTATTTTCGTATTTGGTACTATAAGTTGTATAGTCCCATAAGTCTGTGTCAAATGCAACTATAGACTTGCTTCTTTGTATATATTGTAAATACTGTAGGTTATCTAATTTTTAGAGGGCCATTTGGTAGAATACCTTCTCAGGTAAAAATGTTAATTTACCCTCATCAAATAAAGTTTATTATTATTATCCCCGAGCGCCACGCGCGAGGGCAAAAATTACAACACGCACTTTTGGGCAGCCTATGGTGTCCCCGCAAGTAAAAGTCCCAGATAACAAAATACTTTTGACTCAAACTTGCAATTTTGTTGACATGTAAATATCTTTTCGATTCCTTTTTGGTCCCAGAGCTAACGGCGATGAGCGCCGTGCGAAGTTACTAATTCCGCCTAGCTATTTACTCCCGGGGAAAGCATTGGCGAAGTCTAAAGCAGTGAACTATATGCAACCATGTTATATAGTTCAGTGGTCTAAAGTTCATCAATGATCGCGAGCGTGGGTGACCGTGCGCGGGTGGTCATCTCACTGATCTAAAAATATAGCAGACTGTCATGAATAGCGAACACTGATTTGTCCAATTTAAAATTTGCATTGTAACGACTGCATGACGACAGCGAAACCGCAAACATTTCTTAATTTGATGATTTCTTGCATATATACTGATTTCGTCAGGGGCGTAGGAACGTGCCTTCCCCAAATTTTTTCAAAGGACTAAACGTGCCCTTTTTTGTGATGAAAAGTGCCCTTTTTTGTGATGAAGAGTGCCCTTTTTGTACAAGCTAATGTTGCTGTAAACAGTACTAAATTAACATCAAAGGTGCCCTTCAGTTGTTTGGAAATTTCCAGGTTTTTAAAAAAAATTTGGTCAAAAACGTGCAATTTCGGTATGGTACGAAGGGGAAATGTTTCTCCCCCCCCCCCCGTGGTGGTGCCCATTTAAGTGCCCTTTTCAATACCCTAAAATGCCCCTAGAAGCCGGTGCATCCCCCCAACTTTTGATGCTTCCTACGCCTCTGGATTTCGTGATTTTTTTTCTGTATTGGTGTTATGTACTCAGGTGAATATGATGTTTGTGATGTTACTCTGAGTGTATATCCACACCGGGCAAGCTTGAAAAATATGCCTGGCCACGGTGGGAATCGAACCTACGACCTTTGGAATACTAGCCGATACTTGTAAATTTCAAAAGATTTTTGAGAAAAAAGGCGAAAGAATTGCTATAGAAGGGAGTAAAGGCGCTGACGTTAACGAAAGCAAGTTTTACTAAATATTGATGTATTGTTTGCTTTATATTAGCTAATTGCTTTAGAAACTGATTGTATAATTATATTAGCATATAATTTCTGTGTATCTTTATTGATTACCCTTTTTTGTTATATTAAAATTTTTAAATAAAAAAGAAAGCAAAGTTATTTGTTTGCATGCAAGAATTTGAAATCATTTTATTTCAAACTCCGAAGTTTATCGATAAAGGCAGTTTAGTTTTATATATAAAGAACATTTTAAAACGTTTTTGCGAAGCGTTTGTGGTTGAATTTGACATTAAATTGAAGTTTACATTACGTATAATAACTGACCTAACATACTTGGCGGAGCGTTGGGCTAGTATTCTAAAGGTCGTAGGTTCGATTCCCACCGTGGCCAGGCATATTTTTCAAGCTTTCCCGGTGTGGATATACACTCAGAGTAACATCACAAGCATCGTATATATGTTGAGGAAATTGATAATTTTGTACTAATTAAAAGTGATATTTTTAGGATTTTTCAATTGTAAGAATATTCTTAATGAAACTTATGTCTTATCGTGTTACCATGACAACTACTTTAAATATTTCATGCATGTTCGGAAAATACAATGGTTTTGTCAGCAAGGCGAGGGTTTCTGATGCATGTAGTTTCTAGTCATAAAATATATTTATATCAATGGCGTATTGAATGCGTCTATCTATCCATCCCTAGCTGAGTCTAGCTGACAGATGCACCCCATAGTGCAAAAAATTAAAGAAGAAGAGTGTGCACTGCCTCGCACAAATGCGTTTTAATAATTATGATACATGAAGTATTCAGGAAGGCAGGCGACGCGCGAAGGGGCTGTTGGGAAGGGCGCATTCCTGGTCTCGCATTTCAAGTGCACTCTTCCCATCAGCCCCTTCACCCTTCTCTCGCCACTACAATACTTCATGTCAACTCGCCATATGCGCATCAATATTTTTCTTACAAAAAGACGCCTGGGTACGAGGCAGGAGTGTGCACGTGATTTATAGGAAAATTAAAAGGTGTAGACATGTTTCGAAAGCTATTAAAAGAATGGCAATACTGTTGAAATGTCAAGGGTTCGTGGTTGGTTAAGCGAAAACTACTGTCTATATATGTATCTATAGTTGCGAAAAATGCAACTACATAAGCTGTCCAACAATAATTGTAAAGTAAAAAGCAAAATATCGTTGTAGGAGTGCTTTTCGATTGAATTAAGAGTTTACCTACCTGAGCAGAAGCTGTTTCCAAAGATACCAAAATCAAAGTTATCAATGAAAAGAGCGCCGTTGGATAATTTTTTGTATGACACATGATATACTTCGATGCTGAAAAACAAAATGTTAAGCCTGTTTTTTATATAGCGGGGATTCGAAAAAAAGCACGAATACCGTACTACGGATCACACAAAGTCAAAAGAATGATCTAACTTCTGTTTGTTCTGACGTGGGCCGTTTGCTACGTCCCGATATCGTTCACTTTCATTTCACCCATCTTGGAACTGAAATATTGTTACGGGAACTAACACTTTCGAACACGTTGAGTTCAAATCCGAAAAGTTCCCGCTCCGTATACCTGCAGTTTTCTCACAAACTGCAATTTTATCTTCACTAATTTTACGACAACTTTTTTCATTGTTCAACGACACGGATCGATGACGACAAACGATTATGTCACTCAAAAAGACCAATTTCTATTAACCAGTCTACCTTTTAACAAAAGACCGGTTTTGCTCGAATCATTTTGAGTTACGTTATATTATTCGTGTTGGACGTAAACAACATGATTATCTTGTCTACAACTTTGGGAAGGAACAGATAAAGCTTTCTGAAATCCTCGGTTCTGGCTCTATCTCAATAAAATCACAAGGACATTAATGCTAAGTCTTTTGGCTATGTCTCTGGGCTGAGAAATAACTCTTTTAACGCGATCAAGGTATTTAAAACAAAAGTAACGCGAAGCCAACGGAACGGCAAAGACAACACTAAAATGAAATATTGTCGATGGGTTGCTGGTAGAAGACTCACAACAGGCCTAGGATATGTCACTCTTTAATAAACTTAAAGTAGAAGAATAAATGTTCACATCAAAGACAAATATCAGTGCCAAAGTATAAAATCTGCTCTGTAAACTTATGACGAAGTGGAGAAAAATGTGCATGAGCTGGTTAGTTGGTAATTACAACGTATATGAAAGCCCTCTTTCCAATAATACTTGCTAATCGCACAGAATAACACCAACTGATATAATAGTTCAAATGCAATGATAAGTTACCTCTTGAATTACGTCTCAAAAACTGTGTTGGAAATTTAAATGCTGACCCATTACATAACATTACCGTTTTACATCGTTGTATAAAACATTTTGATCGCATGTAAGGAATTATTTCTCAGCCCAGAGACATAACCAAAAGACTTAGCATTAACGTCCTTGTAATTTTATTGAGATAAAGCCAAAACTGAGGATTTCAGAAAGCTTTATATGTACCTTCCCAAAGTTGTAGACAAGATAATTATGTTGTTTACGTCCAACATGCATAATATAACATAACTCAAAATTATTCGAGCAAAACCGGTTTTTGTTAAAAGGTAGACTGGTTAATAGAAATTGGTCTTTTTGAGTGACATAATCGTTTGTCGTCATCGATCCGTGTCGTTGAACAATGAAAAAAGTTGTCGTGAAATTAGTGAAGATAAAATTGCAGTTTGTGAGAAAACTACAGGTCTATAGAGCGGGAACTTTTCGGATTTGAACTCAGCGTGCTCGAAAGTGTTAGTTCCAGTAAAAATATTTCAGTTCCGAGACAGGTGAAATGAAAATCGCATTAATATTTACATTTACATGATTAATATTTACATTTTTACGCTTATTTTTCATTATACGCTTATATAAGAAGCGATTACAGTTGAGGATATTTTAGATATTGATTTATATACATATACAAATAATGCTATTACGTCTTAATGAACTATTGTCAAAGGTGTTGTGATACTCCATCCCATATAGTTCACTGCATAGATTTAAAACCGGAAAATTATACCCTTTCCCTGGAACGTTTAGAATTAAGAATACGTCTTTAATGTATACAGATATATAGTCTTTCTTACTGACTAATTTTCAATAAGCTCCAGGGCTTCAAACTTCGAATCAAAAAACAATCAAGCTGCAACCTCATTGCTATGAGTATGACTTTTAGGCAACTTTCCGATTGAGATATACTGCAAAATCCCTGCTATACTTCAGGATCATGAAAAACTGTTTCATATATTAATTGTGACCTACAGAGAACTCGACATAGTTGTTTCAAACTTTATTAAATTAAACATTAATGTTAATTTTTAATGAAAACCCAAAGGAATTAATTTCCTTGAATGTTGTGAAATAACTAGCAGTAAAGGAAAATACCTTACTGTATTTACTCGTTTGAGCGCCGCGGCGCTCTTTACTGAAATTTACAGAGCTTCAGATGCGGCGCTCGATCGGGGGCGGCGCTCTTTAAAAAAACTTTTATTTGTGAATTATAACAAGAAATTTTAACAACAAAATAAACAAGTTTTAAGACAGAGTTAAATAAAAGAGCTTTAGAGTACACTCACTTTGAACTGAAAAGCATTGTAATACAAAAAAATAAATGTCTGAATGGTGCTTCGATTAAAGGGCCGCATTTGAAAATAATTAGTGCGGCGCTCATTCGGGGCGGCGCTCTTTCAAAAGAATTTGATCTCAAATGCATGCAGCGCTCATTTGAAGGGGACGCTCAAACGGCGCCGGCGCTGCAAATTTTTTTCCGTAGACAGTCGAACTCCTCATTGATAGTCGGACGCATCATTGTCCCGCGTCCTTAAACAAAATATTCAGCGGATACTCTTCTTATTAGATGCGCCTTCCCAGTGTGTCTTGCGCACGCAATTGGTGATTTCAAAATATTGTATTGCTTGCATGGTTGAGATGTCAAAATCTGAGCAGGACACATTGTGGCTTCATATCTTGTGTGGTGATGACATGCATCTAACATATTTTATTAATTAAGTTATATTTGCCATTCCCACTTGCTTTTCTTTACTTTTGTAACTGTTTTTTGTAACTCTTTTGGAGCACTCTTTTCTTTGCTTTTGTAACTCTTTGTAAGTTTCATTGTTTTCGATTCCATAATTCTGAAAAAACATTGCAATATCTTCCGGGGCGATTGCAGAATACCCGTCCACTTTTTAAGCTATATGCCTTTCAAACATCATTGACACGATGTATTTGAATACATCTATATTTATTCTCAATAGATTAATAATAAATAGATTGATAGATTAAAATCCCATTGTGGTAAATGTAGCTACGAGGCATACAGTGACTTAGGATTAATAGATTAAATTGTCATAGTGTTAAAGGTAGCTCTATATTCTAGTGGATACGCGGATACGCAGTTATTTTGAGATTAAGCCGACAGTTAGCTAGTTAGCATTCATAGATTAAATTCTCATGCTATAGAGAGCTTAAATGTGGTGTAATATGTAAATATGTTCCTCACAACCGCACATTGGTGTTTGACAGATTATGATTAATTAGCGTCGCTGGTATAATGTTGTCTATAACATTGTTATTTATACTTTCTTTAATAATCTCTAACAGAACTTATTTACAGTTGCATGCTATGTCGCCATCTTGCTTACTTCCTCGTGGTCTATAATTAATGTTCATTATGCTAATTATGCTAAACACTACATCCCTCCTTTTCTCAGAGTTTTTCACAATTGCAGTTCATTGTTAATCATCTACCACTATATCTATGTGTTGGTATTTAACAAAACAGAATATGAATGATAAGACAAATTGTTGATTGTCCAACAAGTTATATGACTGTCACTGTCAGCCCTTTCTATTTACAACAAGACGCCTGCTCAGGCGTTCACACTGGCCTGAAAATGGAAACTTTTGTGGAGGGTGTAATGTGTAGTAGAGAAGTAAATAGGGATACAGGGGGTCTGGACCATATAAATACAACCAATAAATACAATCATGATTAGCAACTATCAACCATAATATACCAAGACGCCGGCTCAGGCGTACCCTCTGCCGCTCTGGCTACGGACAATTCAACCTGACAAGCCATGCAGGTGCACTGTAACTATGATCATCAACTATCAACCATAAATAATGATGGGTCAATACTAGCGAATAAATTCTATTGTCCTTGATTTTTAATGCCATTATATGGCTCGCTTCAGGTGCTAAGAAGTTTATAGACATAGACGATTCTTCCAAAAAAATCGCCTATTTGCTGCCAGTTATAAGATAAACTGATCCCAAACCCTTCTCTAACCCCACTATTCTTCCCTTGGGCCTGCACGCGGGCTACCCTCAACCAGTAAACATCTAAGGGGCCGATTACATGGAGCATTTTCAACCCCGGGGTTGAACTCAGCCCTGTTAACTGGGTTGAAATTTTTTGCGATTACATGGACACGATTTCAACCCCGGGATTGAAACGTTATACTATACGTTCGCGGCATCGATTCGCGGAAGTAAAAAAAGCCTTTATTTTGTTTTCTTGTAATAAATAGTCACTACCACGTATGCTTCAATAAGTCATGATAATTTCAGTCCTGGGTTGAAACGATTACATGACAAAATTTTCAGCCCAGGGCTGAGTTCAACCCCGGGGTTGAACTCAGCCCTGGGTCGAAAATTTTGTCATGTAATCGCGCGTTTGATTTTGATAGAGTTTTGTATTACAGATAGGGCTAAAATTTCAACCCGGTAAACAGGGCTGAGTTCAACCCCGGGGTTGAAAATGCTCCATGTAATCGGCCCCTAATAAACAATTTGAGAATTAAAAAGTTGGGGGGAAAGTTGGATTTTGTTCCAAAAACAAATCGAACCATACCACGTTTCACTTCGCCGCACGCAACGCTACCTCGCTGAATCAGAATACAGTCGAAAAATACATTCATTTTTATAGACTATAGAAGGCTAATATATGAAATGGAAAATAATTTGGTGCAAATTAATGTAATTACATGTAAATCTATAATTATGCAAATGAACACAAGTGCGCAACACATGTTTATGAGTCTACAACGTATATTTATACTTGTTAATTAAAAAGTCAAACTGTCAAACATTTAACTTGTCCTTGTTTATATTCCACTATATTGTATGAATTCGCTCGGTCCAAATTTTGGGGTTTTCGAGTCGTTACACAAAGAAAAACACATACATTCAACACGCCAGAGAGTCCAGAGTGCGCCACAACGTATTTTTCACAGGAAAATCGGCACAATTCTTTAAAAATTCAACGAAACTGTGTGAAATATATATTAGATAGCTCAGTGAAAAGCCGCCATTTTGAAACTGAACTGAATATGTCACTGGAGCACTGGCGCTCTCTATCGTCGGAGTTCGGAATTGTGCGCGTGCGTACGTACAAGTGTATGGGCTAATAAACAAAAAATGTACCACAAGCATGGCATGAGCCGGCTATTACGTACATAAATACGAACTTTTTACCGTATTACATAAATTACGGAACTGAGGTATCTAAGGCATTTTGGCTTAATAGTTGCAGCCTGAGCCTGCGATGAGCTAACGCAAAATCGATTTCTCGACTACGAAAAAAAACAGAAAAAGGGGGATTTAAGACACTTGGCATACAGGCCAGTGTAATAAGGTTTAATGATAATAGTTCGGCCTTCTTCGTTCTCGCCTTGGATATTGTCGTTCTAGATTTTGTTGTTCCTCTCGGTTGTGATTGTTAATTGTTATCTTCATTGTCTCCAATATCATGTTGTTCTCCATGTTCATCACTATCTTCAATTTCCTCCTCATCTTCAGAGGGCAGCCCAGTTGTTTTAATAGGTTTGAAAAACGATTGGTTTCTAGTAATAGCGAAT